TGTAGAGTAAAATTTACACTTTCGGGTGGTAACCACATAATTCCCACAATATCAACATTGTCTATATCACTTGTTGACAAAATCTTCTTAAACTAGACAAATTATTAATGTTTTATAGAATAGCTTGGTTGCCTTCTTCAACCTGATCAAGTGAACACTCTCTTTTCAACATTTCTCAATGAGTAGTTCCATATTAGTTCTTAGCATTAATCAATCAACTGTCTAAAGGCTATCTTTGGTCTATGTCCTCCATGACATTGACGAGGCAAAACCTTGTTGGTTTTACCACATCATTGTTTGTTCAGAATTTTCAGATTCCTCCACTGCGGTTGAACTTTTTTCGGGCAAACATCTGGTACATCACCCATGGAGGCTTTCCGTTCTAGTGCATCCCCTCTCTGGTCTTGTAATTAGCAAAATTTTACAAAGACAAATCAGATTGTTGATGGTTTTGCCCATTAGTGTCAAAACTCAAAATGAATATTTTGTTGTTTATGAGGAACATACTTCAATGGAAAATTTCTGATTGTTGGCTTTTTAATACGGTTGGTGGCATTAGTACAAGCATTATCCCTCTACTAGCGGGAGCATTACTTAAGTTTTTCATGAACTTTTATCTTCCACTTGTACCCAAAAACAAGGATAGTTTGGTTGCAAGGGGGGAAGGGATCAAAGTTTACTACTCCCTATTAGGCTAAAAATCATAAGCATTCAGTATCTCATCATATTTTAAATAAAAAAACCTATGTCGGTATAAGGAAATTAGGCATGCATCTTCAAACATCTCAAATTTGATGCAGATTTACAAATGATGTCAAGCACAACCAAAGATCTTTACAATGATTAAGTGCAGCGAGCATTGCCAAACCAAGGGAAAACGCACCAATTTGAGTTAATTCCAGAAAGAAAATTTAATTAAAAAAGAAAACCTTTGTTTCTTTGATCTTGATGAGAAGCTCCTTCTGGGAAGAGAATGCATCCTTGACAACCTTGGTGACATCCAAAACAATTCCACCAATCTTGTCAGCAGCACTGCAAAGCCTCCGGACGCACTGCGAAATCAGATCTTCGAACGCGATGATGGATGGATCCGATGCCGCCGCCGCAGCAATGTCAACGTCGCGCGGTGTTCCCTGGCCAAATCCGCGATGATTGGCCTGTTGATTGTCTCTTGCCTCTAGCGTCTTTCTCATCCTTGCAGCCAGATCGAAATAATTCTGGTTGCGCTTGGCATGAAGTTCCCTCTTTTCGCACCCCCGTTGATGATCTGCCCGCTCGATGGGAGGAACATTTTCCAGGCAGAATTTGCACCGGCGGTTCGGCATGGCTCTGCGCGCAGGTCTCTCGAAGAAGAAGAAATTCGGTCGTTAGTTCGTTACTCGTTAGAAATACTCGGGTACTCGGGTACTTATTGTCCGCGTTTAGTTACTCCTTTTTTTTTATAACAATGCACCGCAGAGGTCCGTGCACTATCTGGAAATATTCAAATTAGTCCCTCTACTACAAATAGAATCAATAAAGTCATTGTAGTGTTTATTTATGTTCAATCATGTTCTTCTCGTCAAATGTCTCTTGTATATTGCCCTAAATTTTTAACTATGACGTTCAATTTTATTATAAAAGACATGCAATTATTGTTTAACATAATAATTCATACCTTTAAACGAGTAACGATTAACAAATCGGCCGATTCACAGTTCTCCATTGCACCCTTTGGAAAATAAATCAAGAAGAAAAAAGATCGAAATTGCCCTTTGGAAATAGATTGAAAAGGGCAATTCTTGGCTAAATCAAGAAGATAAAATCCGGGAGGGTAATTTTGAGAATTCCAAAGGGCCGATGTGAATCAGAGTCGCACTTTTGGTGCGTGGGAGAAACGCACATCAAATCTAGGATTGGAGGACCACTGGTGCAATGGTTTGCATATTTGAGAGGTGATCGGTGCACTTCTTATTCTTTAGGGGTAAATCATGCACTTTCAAAGAAGTTCGGGGGTAATCCATGCACTTTTCTCTTAAACAATAATTGCATGTGTAACGCCCCAAAACATACCCTAGAATTATTAATGAATAAATAATCAATTAATCAAATTTGTTTTGATTAAAATAAATTATTATTGGGCTTTGGGCCGATATGAAATGTGTTTTGACATCCAATATCAAAATCTGGATAAGTCTCATAGAGATAAATCCAATACTATTTGTGTGGTCTTGATTGGGAACCTAAGTACAGACCCAAATCAAGAGTAAATAAAGAATTTGTTTAGAATGTAAATATTGAAATGATTTGTTAAAATAAATCATGAGAATAATTGATATGAATTAAATGAGAAAACCTTTTATGAGAAAGGTCAATTAAACCAATTTTTACTCTATCAAAGTCAACCACCCAAAAATATGATGTCGGAAAAAGTGATACAAATAAATACAAAAATTATATAGTTGGATAGAGTTTAACTATCTGATCGCAACGGTGCAAACGAAATTCAATTCGGAGAAAGTTGGACCAAAAAGTGTACCCCGACTCGGACCAAAATTAGTCCCAATCAGAGAACGGCGCCTCCTCCTCCACTATCGCCGAATGAACTCACAGCATTGGAAATCCTACGCAGCATATGTTCTCTTCTCCTTCATCAACTCTATATAAAGAACACTCAAAATATTCAAATCTGCACCATTCTTTCTAAAATTTATCCCATTAGAATCATGAGAGTGAGGAGAGTAGACTGATGTTGTTGATTTCCGTCGAGGTCGCCGGAGCAAGCCGTGGTGTTCGCCGGAAGTTTCGTCGTTCAAACGCCGGAATCATCGTTTAGCTCCGAGGTAAGCCCGTAGATATATCTAATGACTAGAATGTTCGTATAGATCGTTTTTACGTTCATAAATGGTCATTTGGTTGAGTTTTGTGTTTGACATGCTTAAAGAATCAAGAATCATAAACCTTGAATTTGATGTTAAAATCATGAATTAATGATACCAAAATGATCTATGAACCTTGGAGAACATTTCTATATAGTTTAATTGAAGTTTGGTAACCTAAAACGAAGCTTGAGAAAAATGGCCGAAGGAAGATGATGATGAATAGTAAAATCTGTGCTGATACGGGACCCTGGTACCGTGACTAGGTACCGTTACCAGGTACCGTAAGAAGAAGAAAATTTTCAGAACGGTACGGTCGACCGTTACGAACATTTTTCAGTCCGAAAATGCTATTTTTGAAGCTATAAAATCCTATTTTTGACACCAATTAATTATGAACAATATAAAAATGATTTTGTACAATAAAAATGATGTTTTTGACATATAAAACATTGTGTGATGCATGACGGTAAGTACGGGTGTTAACACTCGAATCTAGGCCGCTATTTGTTAATAAATGTTATTATGACTAGTATAATCAAACCTTGATAACATCCTGAATAAATGGTTATTATAATGGATAATGGAATATCATTGATAATAAATATTGATTATGATGATCAAATGGACGACCCGAGTAATTATGACTACATAACGATAATGATTTTATTATGACAAATAAAAATATATGGAATTCAACGAAAGAACCGTAAAGATGAAATTATGAATAGATATACTTGTTTGACTATCTTGAACTAAATTATGATTATGATTATGAATTATTGAACCATAATTCAAAATGAATAAATTGATCAACAAGAAAATGATGTGTATTGTTAAGGATATCTAAAAGACTTTAAGATATACCTATTAGCTAATTGATGTTAAGACTATCTAGAAGACCTCTAGAATAGATCTTAGGATGAACTTATGAAAACATAAATAGTTGATGAATTAGATAAAAATGCATAAACGGGATTCATGGACCAAGCTAGAGGATTACTCGTTTGGGAATGCCCAATCCAATGTTGATCAATCGCTATATTGTTGTTGCCTTAACTGACTACAGTTAAGTGTCCGAAATCGATTGTCTTAAACTAATGATAGTTTAAGTGTCTGATTGCCTTAACTGACTACAATTAAGTGTCTGAAATCAATTGCCTTAAACTAATGATAGTTTAAGTGTCTGATTAATAATTGCCTTTTAAGGATCTGGTTATGAAAATTATGATTTGGCCTTAAACTAAGAATAGCTAAGAGTATTGTTATTATCTGGCTTAGACTAAGAACAGCTAAAAGCATTGTTATGATATGGCCTTAGACTAAGAATAGCTAGGAGCATTGTTATTATTTGGCCTTAGATTTAAGAATAATTTAAGGGCACTGTCAGAATAATATCTGAATTGAATAAAATGTGTTGATATGAACTGAACATTATCAAAACTGTGAATGTCTGAAATGAACATTGTGTGCATGATATCAAATGATTTGATTATGAATTTACATTCAGTTTATATGGATGTTCGATGCATTCGATATGCTTACTCAGCTTTACCGCTGAGCGTGTAGTGTGTTTTATTTGCTACACGCAGGTAAATAGAAAGAACAATGTGATCCTGGTGGCAGATGGGGCGAGATTGCCGGGATGGATGTGACAAGTTTTGAAACAATTTATGATATGTCAATATTAAAATCGCTTCCGCAATATTGTTGAATACTCCGTACTGTATATGTTATGAAAAATATTATTGGGATTAATAAAGTGTGTTTGAAAAGTTTTAAATTTTTACGATTACCAAGTTAAATACTTTAGTCTGAATGAGGCTGCAGACCTGGACGGATTAGGGTGTTACAGTTTGGTATCGGAGCAAATGGTTTTAAAACCGATCTTCGGATCAAAATTTGAATTTTAAAAAAAAATGTGTCAGTCACATCCACGACTCTCGCATCCCTCTGCTTCAGGAAAGGTATGAGAATTTATTAGATAAATATTGACTTTGTTAAAATTCTCATTAGATAACAATTGTTAGTACTGAAATTATATTGAGCATAGACTCATGTAGATTTTTTCGTACTCGGTGAAGAGACGAAAGAATAAAAAGAAAAATTGTGATACGTTATCAACGTACTTATCATATCGCGATTGACGAAGCTGATCTATCTCGCAAAGTCGCATAGAAGTGAGACGACTATGAAGAAACGCCTAATGTTGAATAACATTCACGAAGCTGCTGTCAAAGATCCTCATGTGGACTGAAGATGATCGGATTGCTGATTTAAACACGAACGTTTAGAATCAATAAACTCTGTTGTCTAAAAGTATCCCATTCTGATGTCTAACTCATTACGACGTAAATATGCGATTATATTATACGAATCGAAATCGTTCGTTCAGCAACAATTCCTTGTAAAACTTTGTTGAAATATCCTACAAGGAAATTGACGTTATCCTTATTTGATTAGCTTAGAAAGTTTTACAAGGATATTTCAACAAAGTTTTACAAGGAATTGTTGCTGAACGAACGATTTCGATTCGTATAATATAATCGCATATTTACGTCGTAATGAGTTAGACATCAGAATGGGATACTTTTAGACAACAGAGTTTATTGATTCTAAACGTTCGTGTTTAAATCAGCAATCCGATCATCTTCAGTCCACATGAGGATCTTTGACAGCAGCTTCGTGAATGTTATTCAACATTAGGCGTTTCTTCATAGTCGTCTCACTTCTATGCGACTTTGCGAGATAGATCAGCTTCGTCAATCGCGATATGATAAGTACGTTGATAACGTATCACAATTTTTCTTTTTATTCTTTCGTCTCTTCACCGAGTACGAAAAAATCTACATGAGTCTATGCTCAATATAATTTCAGTACTAACAATTGTTATCTAATGAGAATTTTAACAAAGTCAATATTTATCTAATAAATTCTCATACCTTTCCTGAAGCAGAGGGATGCGAGAGTCGTGGATGTGACTGACACATTTTTTTTTAAAATTCAAATTTTGATCCGAAGATCGGTTTTAAAACCATTTGCTCCGATACCAAACTGTAACACCCTAATCCGTCCAGGTCTGCAGCCTCATTCAGACTAAAGTATTTAACTTGGTAATCGTAAAAATTTAAAACTTTTCAAACACACTTTATTAATCCCAATAATATTTTTCATAACATATACAGTACGGAGTATTCAACAATATTGCGGAAGCGATTTTAATATTGACATATCATAAATTGTTTCAAAACTTGTCACATCCATCCCGGCAATCTCGCCCCATCTGCCACCAGGATCACATTGTTCTTTCTATTTACCTGCGTGTAGCAAATAAAACACACTACACGCTCAGCGGTAAAGCTGAGTAAGCATATCGAATGCATCGAACATCCATATAAACTGAATGTAAATTCATAATCAAATCATTTGATATCATGCACACAATGTTCATTTCAGACATTCACAGTTTTGATAATGTTCAGTTCATATCAACACATTTTATTCAATTCAGATATTATTCTGACAGTGCCCTTAAATTATTCTTAAATCTAAGGCCAAATAATAACAATGCTCCTAGCTATTCTTAGTCTAAGGCCATATCATAACAATGCTTTTAGCTGTTCTTAGTCTAAGCCAGATAATAACAATACTCTTAGCTATTCTTAGTTTAAGGCCAAATCATAATTTTCATAACCAGATCCTTAAAAGGCAATTATTAATCA